GGGGGGGGGGAGAGGACGGGAAGGCAGGAGAGGGAGGGAGTAGATACGGGCTTGAGCAGGATGGTCCATCGTGACCAATTAAAAAGAAGAAAAAAAAGAATGGAAAGTCCGCAAGCCTGTGCGCAAAACAGAGAGAGAGAGAGTCCATCGCCATCTTTGTGTGTGTGTGTGTGTGTGTGTGTGTGTGTGTGTGTGTGTGTCTGTGTGAGAGAGAGAGAGAGAGAGAGAGAGAGAGAGAGAGAGTCCATCAACTTCTTGGCAAAGATTCCATTTTTATTGTGGGCGTAGCCCCAACAGGTCCCCTAGTCGCAAAATATATAAACAGGGGGAGTTATAAGGAAGAAGATAAAAAACTGAATTCATTTTGTCTCGTTTTCCTTCTTTTTTTCTTTCTTTCGCATTTGCGCTCTGATATTTTGTGACAATATATACTCCGACGTTGCTAGCTCTCTGCTTTTGCAGATGATGCGGCGAGCGTCGGGCCTGTACTAGCAGGCTATGCTTTCGTTATGGTAGAAAAAAATTCTACATTTGTTCTTGTCATTCCCTCTTCTCTGCTTCTTTTCCTTTACCTTTTCCCTGTTGCTGGGGTATTCCGTTTTGCGGGCCTACTGTATGGTTCCCTTTTTTTACTATGGATATGGTTATGGTAGAATTTTTTTTGCTGATCTTGTCTGTTTCCCGGTTGGTTTGGTCCCGTTGTTCGGGCTATTTCATGGGCGTGGCGGTGCTTTCACATGGGACCAGTCATTCAGGTTTTTTCGCACTGTGGATCGGAGCTATTTTACTATACTATGGATATGGTAGAATTTGTCTTGGTGGTGATTTTGGCACCCTTGTCTGCACCCCGGTTGGTTTCGTTCCGTCGTTCGGCTTACGGTAGTAGCCCTGTAGCGGTGATTTCATGTGGGACTTGTCAGCCGGTTTTTTTCCCTTTTTGGCATTCTAGGTGGTTGCTTCCCGTTGTTCGGCCTGTGCGGGGGCGGTGCTTTTTTTTGTGGGAATCGACATCTAGGATTGTCCTTTATGTTTTTTTGCTGTTGGTGCTGTCCCAGTAATTTAGCTTAGACCAGCGAAACGGTGGCTTGACAGTTTGAATCTGTACCAGTTTTTGCAACAACAACAATAAAATCAATCGCAAAGGATTCTTGGAGCTGGCGCGCACGAAAGGTATGTTATCTGGGATTGTTTGTTTGCAGGCAAGGGTGTTCTTGAATCCTGGTTGGTCTTGTCCCCTTGTTTGGCCCTGGTGGTGAGGGCGGTGCTTGCATGTGGGACTTGTCATCTAGGACTGGTTTATGTTTGTTTCCCCCTGTTTTGTTGTATTTGGCTGTTCCCTTCCTCTTTTCTTTGTCTCTTTGCCTTTTGGCTGTGTGCAAGTGGGTCGATATGACACACGGGGGTGGGGGCAGCCGCCGCTCAACCTACATCCACGTGGGCGGCCTTGTACGCAAGAGGTTCTGAACAGGGGGAGTTGTAAGGAAGAAGATAAAAAACTGAATTCATTTTGTCTCGCTTTCCTTCTTTTTTTCTGTCTTTCGCATTTGCGCTCTGATATTTTGTGACAATATATAACTATCTGTTACATCTTCGACTCACACGGGTCCTACCGGACCCGACTTAGGGCCGGAGGGACACACCAGGGCCTAAAGGCCCGACCTTTGGGGTTACAGGCCCTAAAGGCCTGATTTTGGACTAATCCCATCGGGTAGGCCCAAACGACACTTCGTTTGGGCCTGGCGGCGCTCTTGAAGCTGCCGCCCGCCGATTGAGGCTGAACCGTCCATATGGACGGTCCAGGGTCTGGCCTGGCCTCGCAGCATTGAGGCCAGACCATTGCCTACCGGTATAAGTACCGGTATCCGCCTCAGTTGAAGGATCGGCCTCCCGGAACTCTACCGGCACGGCATGGTCAGTGCTAGTGCACTGTCTTGATGCGCTAAACTTAGCACAGGGGCTGAAGCAGGAGCGCAGCAGCGAGCGGAGCAGCAGCTGAGCCAGCACGGCGGTCATTGCCGCCTGAGGTACCGGGAGCTTGGAGGGTCTCTCCTCCTCTCCCTCGCCAGTCCCCTCTCTCTCTCTCTCCTCTTCCTCCTTCTTCTTCTTCTTCTTCTTCTTCTTCTTCTTCTTCTTCTTCTTCTTCAGATTGGAGACTATCCAGTTGGACAGAGATCAGAGTTGGATTTCGGTGATACGAGACTGTGGTACTTATCTGATTGGAG